AAATCTTTTACCTAGGATTCTCATTGCATAAACTTCATATAACTTTGTATTACTTACCTTATCTACATTCATCTTTTTGAAACCACCTTGCAAAATTTTGAAATTCTGTATGTATTCATGCTCGAGGTTAGTCTTGAACTTGACCCTCTTCAATGGAACGCTTCCAGGGAAAAGCATATCCATGAATTGACAATAAACAGCTCCAGTACATAACTCTTCGATCTTGGTAAACGATGACTGCAGACAGTCATTTACCCATGCCAACATATCATGTCGACTCAGGTTTTCAGTTGTCACATTTGTTGCATAAACATTAACAGCCATATTGGTACTCTTCTTTTAACGGTAACTAAAACATAACGATTCAACAGATAGGGAAAAAACATGAAACAGATTGTAAGTTAGCGAAACTGTACATTATCATTATACTGATACAATGCAAAACAGATATAATACATAAAGAAAGAATCAAGTTCTAAAAGCCCAGTGGTGAACACAGTGATCTAATATAACAAATTCATTAGACGATCGAAAAACGATCACTGATATTATTTATACGATTGATCTCGAAGCAGACTTAAAAGGAATAACATTCCATTCACTTTTTTGGCTCGAAACACTGACCGTCGACATATTCGGGGCTCTTTCTTCGACATGCCACGACTTTGTGCTACGCATATTTTTGCAAGATGTAACAGTAGCAACCGATTCAAAGCATAGAAATGTAATTAAATTTTAATATCTTTATCCTTTTTTCGACCATTAAGATGCTGGAATAGTATAATAACTTACCGAGTATCGCGGAAACACCGTAACACCAATCGGGAGTGGTTCTTCGCACGTAGATGACAAATGTATACTAGATCGTTCAAACGCGCACACGACTGAAACTTCTAACGGTTCCTTCGGCAACGATTGGATGATGCACGTGTACTGCACTGAATTTCATCCGAAAAATAAGCACGATTATCACGGTGATCCTTCTTTTGCGCTTTTTACTGTACGTATTTATTTTTACCGCGTATCCGATTCAGCTATTCCGTCGAATCGACCGCGTAGCAACAAAAATTTCATGCGTGTGTCAATGGAAATTAACAAACGAATATAACCGCGATCCAGAGATTTCAGTCGCCGGCAGGCGAGTTCGTTGCTCCGAGATACGTTCAAAATCGAAGAATTCACGATATCCGTTAACAGAGAGTAGATAAAACGTTTAATCCTGACTCACAAGGTGTGTGCCATATCGCGAAGCTAATCTTTGCAACTCGCCAATCATAGCAGTCTTCTTGGACAAAAGCGTTGAGCGGGCAATTATCATGAATTTTGCTATCGTTCGATCATACAGGATTGATATTTTTATCTTCAATATTCTTCGAGAATATTTGAAACGACATAAACGAAATACGCTGGTTATAAAAAGTATTTGTAGTCACATTTTTCTTTTTTTATTTATTGTTTATCATCACATCCACTGATAAGGCAGGTTTTAGCAGGTATCACTGACTACAACTACATGTATCCTATAAATATATAAATATTTAAATAGTATTTATATGCATAATTTGGTACAGTTATCTTAGTTTTTTTTATCAGATTCTACATTTTATTTTCGCAGTACTAAATTTTTAGTCATACGGAAGTATTACCAAATGATATTTAATATACTTGGACTTGATTAATTGGTATATAATTCTGCAATAAATACACTGATATACAAATATTTTTTGTAGTCGCTGTAATTTATATATAAATATACTTTATAAGGAAATTAGTAAAAATTAATTGTGGAAATGTATAGTTACGTTTTTCGGGTAATAAATATTTAAATACAGTATAATATAAATAAAATTAGTTTTAGCTTTTCCACTTAACCGATGGCAATCGTAACGCGCTTTCCGCGTAAAAATATTCTTCGGATTGAGGTTGTAATTTTGTTTTATATTCCATTAATGCCGTACGATCTGCTTGTTGTACAAGTATCTATGAAAAAGATATAAAATTCATAATACGTCAGTTTTTCTTAGTGCCAATATTCGAATAATTGTACACTTACATCAATTGCTATTCTAAAACAATGCATATTTTTTGACAATTCCAATCGCCTCTCTATATTATCGACATATTTTAAGTATTTTTCAAGAACCTCGAAAGGTGCACTATTTTTATGCAATATCTTTAGTACATCTTCGATAGGAAGATGAATTTGCAATTTTTTGCTTCCTAGCCATCCCTAGTATTTACAAATTAACAATGGTCTTCATTATCCACTTTTTTATGTCATTAATTATTATTAATTTACAAAATTTTAATATAAAACATGCCTTTGTCACAAGTAATCGATCAACATCATCCCACTCTTTAGCTGCTGCTTTAACTTCTAATACAACCTTTTGATACTGTCTAGGAGACACATCATGCTGTTGAGATAAAATTGTAGGAGACATTAATTTACCCTCTGGCAAATCCCAGTGACCTTTACACGCGTGTTTTAGACAGTCAAGAACTGATGAATTTAGTTCAATATCTTCATTTCCATCGATTACTTTTGCTACCATTTGCCATTCTAATAGTATTAAAAGATATCTACTTAATATATAATTTATCAAAATTCTTGAAATTATACTAGAAAGATAGTTACCAAGTAACTTTATGTAGGATTGGACAAATAAAGCTTCTTTACAATCAGTTAAAGTTGAAAATTGTGTTTTATAACTATTTCGAAGTTTGTTTAGTAATCTATCAGGATCTCGAGTATTTTTTATGATAATGTGTAAAGTTTTCATCTAAAATAGGACGAGTTTACTGTGATTTTGCAGAGTTAAAAATTTTGTTATATCAAAACTTACAGCTGCATCCATTGGTTGTCCTAGCATTCTGTAAAAATGACAAATTAATTAGAAATGTAGAAAATAATATAGCAATATACATAGTGCAATACATACGTTAAAATGTCTATAATTTCATTTATTTGCATTCTTATGGAGAGATATCTTATATAAACATTGACAGCATCTGGCCTTTCTGCTAATATTCTCTGAACTAAAGACCGTTTAAGAGTTTTTGTAAGGAATAAAATAATCTACAACATTTATTTTATTTAGAATATGTAAAATATTTTAAGGTACTATGGAAATTGTAGAAACCAAAAATTACTATTAAAATTGCATTTCCATCACCACTTATTATCGCTGCATCTAATAAGGTAGTTTTACTGACAAGCGATTTATATTGTTCCAAAGAATATGGTTGGCCAAGTAAAATTTTTCTAAGAGTAATATCTGGTTGTAGACCTGTTGTTTCTGGATGAAGATTTTGCAATTTATCCGTAGCTAAAACTATGAAACGTGAAAGGTGCTCATATAATATATATCTTTGTTTTTGTATCAAACCTATCAGTTAATGGAAATAATGAAAATTCAAGCAACTGCACCAAGAATTGATTAATGTGTGATTTTACTGACGTACTGCAAGAAAGTGTTTTTTCTGAGATAATAGATAACATAGGCTTAAGTGGTTGATAATCATTAGTAGATTTTAAAGATCCGTCCGCAATCGACGTGTTGGAGATACCAGCCCATAATTTATCTGTATCGGTCTTTGATACTCCAAACAATTGATCTACCTGTTATTTAATATCATTAATAGTTGGTTAAAGTGACAAAAAATTACTATCAATGGCAATTTTGTGAACTCAACCTCGTTATTTTCGAAACAGAAAGATCGTTTCTCGCTACTGTACCAAAAATCTTCATCATCTTTAGTAGAAGTCATGATTTCAATTCTGTCTAAATAATAATATTTATATATTTATGAATTATTACACTGAAACATCAGATATTAAATCATAGACGACGTATGACACAAGTCTAACATCTTATTATTATTTATGGAACCAGAGAGGTGAGTAGGGAGGTCGCCGATGAGCGTGAAAGAAATTCAGCCAAAAGTACATTCCGCAAATTGCCACCTCTAGCGGTCAAATGGTCGTACTATACGCACATTTCTTCCTTCGATGTTTTTGGTGGGAGAAACGTCCGTACGCACGGCGAGAGGAAAATGTGCATTTGTATCATACTCGTATATACCATCATATAAGCAAATTTCGATACCGATATACCGAAACCCAAAGCCTAAGGAAAACTGTCCAAAAATTGAGTCGTGACTAGTTGTGAAAAATCAACATGAAAGACAAGAAGATTCCAGTTCTATGAATATCTCAGACAGAGACAGAGACACTCTGCTTATTTCTGTCTCGCAAGAACGCGAACTATATTGACCTTTCAAGGTTGATATTTTGCGATTAGACACGACTCAATTATCAGACAGTTTCCCTAGCGAGTGTCCAGACTAGGATTAGAATTTTGTATTTAACGCCACCCTTCGGCGAAAGCATCGAAGGCACGGTCGTATTTACAGGTTTAGGAACTCCTGCGGTGGTGATATTTCTAGATTTAAGGATGGGAAGTTTCTTGTATTGTCCAGCATACATAGAGCGCTGATTTTGAATACTCAAAACAATTTCAACAAAGTAACACATGATGGAAGTAATGAAATGAATTTTTTATAATTTTTATAACACTTTATAAGAAGGTACACATTGTTTATTCACAAACAATTCTATTTAAGAGCTTTAAGTGCTTTAAGAGACACAAAATTATGGTCTTGTGTTCCCTATTGTTTTGTCCAGTCAGAGATGAAAAAAGAGTGCTCATGCCCATAGTTCTAATTGTCTCACAGTATACCATGTGGTGAAGTGCAGAGGTCAATTAAAGTTAGGATATACAAGAACCTATGTATTTAAGTTTAAAGTTAGATACTTTCCCTACTTTTTTATTTTTACCTTCATTTAGTTACATTTTTTTATTTTTAACTTTTTTAGAATTATATTTTTACTAACATCATTATTAATCATTATTAGGCGATTTTATCATTCTCTTGTCTAGTTATACTTGTCTATTTCGGATAGAAAAGCAGATATGAACTTTTCCTTAGAACAATATAGTTAAATAGGTTCTTGTAGGCGTGGAACTCTTTAGGTTCTTGTCTATGCTAGTGTGCAATCAAACAAGACAGATCCCTAATTTTATAGGTTCTTGTAAATGCTAGCTTGAGTTGACTTCAGCACTTGACCGCATGGTGCAGTACTAGTCTAAGAACAACCAGAGTCATAGGCGTGAGAACTCTTATTTCCTCTCTGGTTTAGTCTGCAGCAATGCTGCTGGTTGTGGATTAGAAAAACAGTTTGCCGCATAATCGTTACATTAAATGGAACTTTGCGTCTTAGGTTATGAAATACCGACCTGTCAAAAATTCAGGATGTTTCTTACATCCTCTGCGATTTCCTACGGTGAATATAGGAATCATCACAGACGACACGCCAGTAATTACGTCACCAGCAATGTACGAAATAGATGTGATATTTGTGATGCCGATCTATCGTTGTTCTGTGTTTGACTCCTGAAGGTATGCAAATGCGAGGTCTGTTGTTACCCCTGATATCAGTAAAAGGAAAGTTACGCCTGTACATAGGTCACTCTCTCCGCTACGGCAAAAATCAGGATATAAAAGGGTCTGTATCATTGGACTTCGCGGCTTTATTTTTTCATTACGTAATTTCTTGTGCGTTACTATTTCCATTGAGTTATCAATTAATTCTTAGCGTTACCATTGTGTTATATTAGTACATTTCATAGCATATAAGATTTCTGACAGTTGTATCAGTCTAACGTCCTTTATTACTGAATATAAGATTTTAAATTCTTATTAATAGTTAAATATTCTATTAATTCCTTAATTTTATTTCTTTTTGCCATTGAGCAAGTAGAAACAAGTCGAAATTATAGATCCGGTATTCGGGAATTTGAATCGTAGGAAGGATCACCGCTCGCAACTCGTGGACGATCTAGCAATGAGAACATCTGCACGCTGTTCAAAGCACGCCATTCGTTAGCCATAGATCTTGTTAGTTCCCTTTTCTGTGAAGTTAGAGGTTAGGAAGTATGTTATTTTTGCATATATCAATTATTTTTAAATAGAACTAGGAATAGAATCGAAATTATTACTTTATAACAATATTATAAGACACGCAGCGTTATTGAATTGTGTTATATCAATATTAGTAATAGAATTATATGATTTATATAATTTATCTATCTTGTACATTACTAAAGATTTCAATAAACGTTTATTTAAAGGTAATCAACCGTTTAATCATCTAATGGCCTGTCCAGCGATCCTAGAATGACTCATCCCAATCCTTTAATGAGAAGTGGCATGGAGGAACTTTATAACAATGTTCTGAATCTCGAAATTCGAAATTTATCTCTAATATTCAATTAAACTTCTAAATGTTTTTTCATTCTTCAAGAAAAACTATTTTGTAAGCTATTAGAAAAATATGATTTTACAGAAGCTGGCACATTCTACCACAACTGTAAGATATTTTATAAAATGTATTTTGTAACGTGAGTTTTTCATTGAAATATCGCGATATGTATGTCATTACATTGTAAATTATTAAAAGTAGAATCACGATTAGACTGTGGATTTTAACAAGGGGGCGGGGATAAACGGAATAGCCGCAATACAACATACGATCTATTTATTATTTACAACAATGTACCAATGTTACACAAAATGTACCACATCGTGTTTTTATTTAAATCACTTATCACACAATTTACAAAACGTCGCTCATTCGCTCGCCATTTAATGTCAGTTCGATAAATGGATTGCATTTAGAACTCGTTCTCAACGTTTTTTCATGGCATCTCGTACTTTTTCGGGCAAAACGATGCACGGAAGGGAGAAATTGCAAATATGACAAACTTGGTGAAAATGAGTTCTTGAACGCTTTAACGTCTTGTGCTTTAAAAAATTCATCCTGTCACTCGATTCGCGACAACGTCGTTCTTTTTCTTTCTATTTCGCGTTGCAATCTCATTTTACGTGTATCGCTATATTATATATTATAATTACGTGATATTAACAATGCAAAAATACCAATACTCTTATTAAAATCAAATTCACTCGAATCTGATTGATAATTATATCTAATAAAAATTAATTTCTCTTCACTTTTGTGACGAACCCGCATTACAAATTTTCATTTCGTCGTAAGCGGTTAACCAGATTAGCAGATTAGAAAATTTATGCATTCGTCGTGTGGTGACAGTCAGATTTATGAAATTCATTTTTGATTAGTAGAACTTTTACAAATATTCTTGCTTCGTTCGTCATTTTTCGAAAATTATAATCAAAGTGTTTGTTAATTAACAATAAGAGGAACGACGCTTACAGAGCGGGATTAAGTGTTTTTTAATTTAACTTTATTTAAGCGATGTATGATATCTTAAAAAAAAAAAAGAAAAAAGAAGACGAAGGAAAAAATATTTAGATGAAGATTCTATTGACTCGAACAGAGCAGTAGAATGTCAAAAATGTATTTTCTCATATATACGAATTGCAATCAGATGTTTCCCGCTACTCGAAGAAAAATAATGTCCCTTTTAAGAAAAAGAAAAAACGCAGAGATACGTCGTTCCTCTGTTTTACCGCATTTCTCTCTTGTTTCCGTATTTTTTAATTCTTTGGCATTTACCATAGAAATAGGGATTTTTGCACCTTGCCATACACGTAAAACGAGACGTTTAATTTTATTGCCAAAAATCGCACACGAAAAAAAAAAAAGAACTATCATCGTCTGAAAGACATACGCGTCCAAAGTTCCGAGATTCGGCTTGTGAATTGCGCGCGTAATTTAAATACTCGAAGCTCGAACGATACGTATCTTCAAGTTTAGTACATCTTGCAAGAGATTCGTTCGCTTAGAATACATTTTCAATTGGACAACATAAACATTCAACATTTAAAAAATCTAATAAATCTGTACATGCTTTCAACGAGCTTGAAAGAAACATTAAACGTTAGGTCATTTGCATCATATTGTCGATTAGTCCAAGTATTCGTACGTTTATGTTTCAAAAGCATCTGCGTTGTCTCACATGTGCATTCATATATTATCTTTCTTTTACAACAAATAAAATATACTATATATTTTAGTGTAACAACAACTATCCAATCATTCGATATCAAAATCTTTCCCGTTTTTATAATACCACACTTCGGTATTCCACTTTCCCTTGAAATATTAAAACATTAGCAACCATTCGGCCAAACAACGATAGAAAAAATTCGTCAGGAGTAACGAACAAAAGAAAAAAAAAAAAAAAGAAAAAAGAAATCCTTTCTTTTTTAAAAGAATCTTCGTTATTTTTTCGTAGCAACGAAGCTCGATAAAATCTCCAGTAAAATGTGATAGAATAATCGAATAAAAACAATCTCCGATTGATTGGGGCGTAAAATCGTTAAAATTCATTAGAGCGCGAAAATTTCCAGCGGGATTAAGAAAATCGTACGGCTAACTTTCTAATACGGCCCATAAATTCTTCTTCAATAAAACTTTAAAAGTTCATGCATGCGACCGTGACGAATGGACGTGTTTAGGGTTTCGTTCTCGGCCGCTAAAATCTCGCCCGCGAGAAAGAAACGTACTTAGTTTAAAACCCGAATACAACGATCTCTACTCCTCGCGAATCTTTGATCTGTGTCTTTTAATACTTTAGAACGGATCTGCGTGCTTTTCATCTACCTTGCGTTGCTTTTATTCCGAATATCTACGATTCGATTTGTCGTCCATTGAGGCAAAATTCATTTTCATTTCTGGTCCTCCGTGCCTGACATAGATTATCCTTAAGGAATATTCTTTTTATTTGCTAATTCTAAATAATCTTTTCTCTGAATTTTCAGCACCAGAAGTATGGAAACTTTTCATTTTGAAAATCAAATTTCAAGACCCGAAAGAGTCGATGAAACTTTGTTCGATGATTTTTAGTTAGTTTCCGAGTACATCGAACGAAAGTATTTGAAAAGTAATTTTCGTCTATCAGTTTTTGAAGATTTTTTTTTTACTTTGTTAAAAAAAATTCTTTTCTTCGTAATTATTAGCAGAATACTCTGTTTCTAGATTTCCTTGATATTCTTCCAAATTTATATTCTTCTGCTACATTACGTGATCCTTAAATTTCTCTTAAACAGTGCAGCATCTATTCAAGTCTTTCTTATAAATGAAAATAACTTTTCTTCGATTATCATTCTCAATTTCATCCGGTCTTGTTATGGCAAAGCAAAGGATGTTCTACATAGACAACTATATACGTAGACGAGAAGCACGCGTTTCTAGCGGTACACACACAGACGAAGAGCATGGACAGCCGATAAGATGGACGGATAGCTGTTGTGATGTTCCTCTCACTTTTTCCAAGTTAAGAACGAGTCTGGACGATTTATGCCCCGAATTAGAACGCGAACCCTGCCTCACCATGTTTTTTGATTGCACTTTGTCGAACGTAAACGATGCGCATTGCACGGGGTTTACCGAACAAGAAAATCGTGAATTATGTTTCATACGAGCAAGTAGGTACTCGTTGCTTTTAATTCTAACAGATTCGTACGAATCGATCAACGATACACTTTACTGTCGTATCAGATAAGAAAAATCTTAACTCTGATAACGAATTAAGTTTCTTCGCGCAAAATGACCGAATTTTTATAATTAAATTTCTATAATTAAAAAGAAAAATGACCGAGCAAACAGAGAAGAAACTATATTATCCGATTATTTCACGAATTATTCTCAAAAGTCGGAGAATAATCAAAGAAGCTAAGTTACCACGATCTTACGATAAAAAGTAATAATTTCAGGAAAAGATTCCTTAATCGATCCGACGATTATCGCAGAGACGTTAAAATAGCAAGTTTCTATGATTTTCTAAATTTTAGTACGTCGAAAGAAAAAGGGGTAAACTGGCGGAGAAACAACGAGTACCACGGGTGGATAGTGATTTTGAAATAAAATTATAGTCGATGAGAATGCGTGTACGTGTAAGTACCATATACGATATCCGCTCGTATAGGTACACGAACGTGTACACGTAATCTGCACGAGCACCTTCACCTGTGCAATGGACAATTCGCGTGTACTTGTTACACGCGCGTTTAAACACCTACGATCGTGTGGATGCGTCCGCGCTCACGTAACGATACAGAGCGTTTTCTTCAAAATCTATAATTCCTCGAATCGAAGACGATGTTTGAGCTCGATTAATATCTGTTCTACCGACACTGCGCGAATTTTCTGCTCTCTTATTATTCTACTCACATACACATTCGTTTATTATATATACGCATATATATGGAGGATAATCCATAAACCACGATCGCTTCAAGTATACTCCGTTTTCGATAACGAAGAAGATAGACGGCGAAGGACGACGATTTTTACAACTTTACGAAGGCAAATGTCTCGCGAGATGAACTCAGGTTCACGCGAGTTCACTCGTCGATTAAAATTCGCTATAATTCGAGCTTTCTCGCGGTTGATACTCTGTAGCTAGAATTTTATCGGTTTATCAAAAAAGACACTGTTATCTTTTGTTATCGATGGTTGCAGTTTTTTGGATGAGAAAAGCAATGGTCAACGATCAACGTAAATAAATTAATTATTCGGTATTAATATAATCGTATAGCGTTGATCGCTCAAAATTTCACATTGAATTGCAAACGTGGCATTTCAGAATTTCTATATGCCAATTGAATCGATTGAATATTTAATTGCGATAGATCGTTTCTTTCGTAAATTATATTTCAAATAACTTTTCAGCCTATTGGTGTCATCGGCATTATGGATATTTCTCCTTTCTCTCTCCTTAAATATAAAAGAGATATTTGAAAGGATCGTAATAAGTGGACCATCCTGTACATCGGTTAAACAAAAGGGCGCGACGTACTTCACGCCGCGTACCACATTGACAGAGTTTCTCTACACTTAGAATACGTTAAGAATCTTCAATTCGGGGTTTTATATACTTTACGTAAACCCTCTGTATAAATATATGTATATAAAAGTAACTCCATAACATACAATAAATCGTATCTTTGTTTGGCACATTTCGTCAACTATAGGATCCGTACAAGTACACCTATTTAGGTACACATACGCTTCTATATATATATTTATATATACATACGCGTATACACCACGTGGCAAGTATATATATACATATATACCAACTCGCTTTAGTCTCTAATAGTCATATATATAATATATATATATAGTATATAGAATACGTACAAATATTCCATCGGAGTAACGATAGTATGTACCACTTTTTCTTTTTTTTTTTTCCTTACGTGTCATTGTATTTTTTGCCTGTGTGTATATATATATATATATTTATATTTATATATCTACATTTATTCTTTACTTTCCGTATTATTCCATTGAGTGTCGTTTATCGATCCTATCTACCTCTAGAAAATTATAAGAGGAACGTAACAATCTGTTATTCTCCGATACAATATAATATATTACGTTTTTCTTTACGTCGTTAAAACGTCACGCGCTTCGCCGAACAGGGAATAGGCTTGGCAAGCGTGGGAGTTGCACTCTCTCGCGAGATTCCCTAGTCTCTTCTGTTCACGATCGTCCCCTTTAACTTCGTTCAGATTAGCCGAGTTACCCACGTTCAAACAATTCAAATTCGAGTAAATCGAAGTTTGCTCGCGGACGCGAGGATTTTACGCAATTTACTTTCTTCTTACTAGGACAGCTTTAATCTCCATTGAGGTGATTTTGCCTTACGTTATACGATATACATCACAGGATAGATTACAAATTACGTTTACAATTATACTTATGGATTTTACAAATTATGTTTATAATTATATAATTAACGTTTCATTTACGTACGCAACTGCTCCCTCCTCTACTTTTCATTAGAAATATTCACCTAAAGAGAAATTATCGAATGGAAAGTTAAGTAACTCGACTTGTACGAATTCAAACTTAAAGTCTTATTACCGATCCGTCGAATTCAAGCAGCATAACTAACTTGAACGAAGTTTTTGATCCAAATAGATTTTCGAAAAGAGTACAAATTCGCGTTTCTATGTCATTCTGCTTTCGCATATAATTTCGGAAGCTTGGCGAAAGTTTCCTTTTTCTCAAAAATTCGTCGAAGAACATTCGTGATGCGCGTAATCGAAAGCACAACTCCATGGACCCATTCAGAAAATCCGGCCCGCAGTCGGAATATATATTATATATTATATATATTTTTTTTTTGTGATTTTTTTTTCTCTTTTTTTCTTCATTTTTACTTAATTATCGTTCGATAGGATTCTTCGTAATTCTTTCGCTTAATCTTTTCTTCGTTTTTTTGTTTTTTCTCATTTTTGTCTAAATAAATATATCCACGAACAAGGCACTGCTCGACAGGCGGAAGTGTGCGCGCGACACCGTTTTTTCGTCGTTGTCGGATGTTCGGATATAATACACTGCGTGGAAAATTTCGCGTCGATCTGTCGAGCTTCTTCGAGCCGTTTCCTATCGCGAAACGTCGGGTAAAAAGTGGTCGGGATGCGTTTTTAGAATATTATCTGCGTAAGTGTGAAGCACTGACGACTCTCGAGCCTTAAGGAAATTCTCTCCATCTCTAATCGCTTGCATCTTGGAGAAAATGGACGTTCCGAAAATCATAACTTTATTGAGAATCAAAAATGTAGATAAGTTCTTCTCGATAGTTTCCTAGGAAATATTATCGTCCTGCTTTTATGTACTTTTTGATCGTGTTTGTCGATAAAAGAAAGAAGAAAAAAGAAACGAGAGTTGAATTTAAGTTCGTATGATTATCCCCAAGAACAACTGCGAACGTTGATTGCTATTTTCGCCCTGATAGAAATTGAGAGCGAGATAAGGGCGTGGCAGTACACCAGGCCATGTTAACCCTCCTGATACTCGTCGTTTAATTTTTTATAACACATTTGTTATTTATCAAATTAAATTTATTCTTAACAACCGCGGCGGAATCGCTGTATTTAACGATCAATAACCAGAAGCACTTGTCAGAATTCAGAAATTCCTCATAGATAATCATCTTTCAATCTTATTGGAACAACTTATTGTTATTATGATCACTGTTGAAAGAAAAGAGAGATTTGTTTAAACAGCGAAAAAACGGTACTCGAGAAATAAAGATGGATTCGGAAGCAGTCTACAACCATCCATATTACAATTCTCCAAATCTCCAAGATCGATCTCACTATCCATGTTTATCAGAAGAGTTAAACGAGACCAACAGATTTGCCATTATTCTCGGCCCGAATTTCGTTCAGAGTGAACGCCAAACACAGGACGTCGTCAGAGAGCGTTTCGCCCACTGGCAGGTCGGCGTGCGTTATAAAGGGAAGCACTTGGTCCGTTTCTGGGCAACGGTGGATCGGCAGTCGACCTTAGAACCTAGGGTGAAACTCTCCGGCTTGACCGTCTCCTCGACAGAGATCTTGCCGAGTCGCTTTTTTACTCGGAATGGCGTTGATCTCGGGGATATGATCTCGTAAAGATCGCTAGTCCTACCCTGAATCTGAACCCTACCCTTCGGACTGCTTGCCTTCTGATCGATAGGAATAGCGATATCGACTTCAGCGCAGTGATTCTGGCTCATATTCTTCGGAACGTTTTTCTCCGAGTCGCTACCGCGCTCTTTCTCGTTAGTTTCATCGGATGGAGTGTTGAAAACATCGGAGGAATAGCTTTTGGAGTCGCATATCAACGCTACATTCGAGTAATCGACCGCTTCCTCAACCTCCGAAGGCAAATTCCTGGCAGAAGCCAAAGAAATAGCTCTAGCTTCTGGTTTCTGTGGTTTCTCCTCGTCGGCATAGTCCAACGACAAACACTTCTTCTCAAACAGAGCCGGGCCAGGAATTCCTCCATCGGACTCCTTCGTTTCTTCCTCTTTCTCCTTCTCTTTTTGCCCATCTTCCTCTTGCTTCCTATCAAGCTGTCCTTCCTCTGTTCTTTCTAGGGAATTGATCACCCTCGATGGACGGCGAATGCTATTTTCCCGTTCAACAGACAGACAGAATTCCTTGTCAGTCAGCAGAATACGCTTAGGCTGTCGAACTGGTTTTTTATCCAGTTCAAGATCCTCTTTCTCCCATGACGGAGTCTTTAGCAAACTTTTCACCTTTCTTAGCTCAGTCAGCAAGTCCATCGTCTCTTGTGACGGTTCGTGGAAGATCCTTCTCTTTGGTCGCCTTATGGATGAATTTGTATCCGAGTCCTGATCACTAGGGTGATCTATTCCCTGTTGTTTCTTCAGTACAGACCTAACTGTACCTCCATGGACTCGTACCACTTCGTTCTTGCTTCCCGAAGTCGAATCTGTTTCCATCTTAGCGGGAGTCGAACTTACTGACTTTGACGCTTCGTCTGTTTTTGACGTAGGATCCTTGGGACTTTTGTCACGAGCATCCGGCGCGATGTTATTCGCTTTTAGTCGTTCCTGTTGCCTTCCAATTATGCTCTGAACATTGCCTCTTGTGCGTCTTTTGAAGTCTGCGTACGTTTCAGTAGGAATTTCATGGTACTTAAACTTATCCTGAAGCTGTTTGAACGTTTCTTTGGAATACTCCTGACCTATCCTATGCGCCAGAGAATCCTCCGACGATGCTTCCCTAGTTTTTTCGACATGGTCTCTTTCTTGATATCCAAGAGAAGCGATAGAGCGATCCTTGGACAAAAGATTATCCGAAGAAATGCCTCTTCTCTCAAACTGCGCCTGTTTGCTAGGTTTTTCACCCTGATCCTTGCCATTCCTGTCCAGCAGGTCCTCATACGTCTGTCTTCTGGTCTTCATTGGCGAATAAATATTTTTCTCCGATGAGTCAGCTTGTGATTCATTTTGATCTGGCAGAACAGATGAGATTGGACGTTTCACTGGTGAATTGGGAACGCTATCTTGCGTCTGTTCAACGGCTTGGGAGTTTTGGATCACCTTTCGATGAATAGGTGTCCTTGGTGTCGATGGATCTCTCTTCAGCAGCCATCTTTTTCTTGGTGAATTGTCCCAGCTATTAAGTTCTTTATCAGAACTGACACTTGCGTTAGTAAAAATGATTTCCTCGCTGGTCGTAACGCGACACATGAGCAATTCAGCTCCATTGCTAGCCCGTTCCTTCGTTTCCAATTTAGGCGACTCTTCCGTCGTGGTGGTAGTATCCAATGGCAAAGAGCTAGGCCCGGAGTCCAGGACATCGTCCAAAGAGGCACCTCTCAGAGGATCTCGAAGTTCCTTTACTTGCACAGTCGATTCTAGATCCTCGGTTTCGAACGAATACATCTTCAACAAAGGACCTTTAGCAGATCTTCTACGTTGAACGTCAAACGATTGCTCCACTCTCATGTTCTTCTGAACCCTTCTCTCCTCCGCCTTCTTCGTTTCCTCGGTCTTCGTCGTTGTTTCCTCCACGCACGTTTCATTCTTAATGCCCCACCTTTCATAACGCGGAGTATCGAATATGAATTTATCCAACGTCTTCGACGAGCCAATTTTGTCCAAGAAAGGTTTCTCCACCGCCTTGCTAGGCCCGATTTTCTCCAAGTAAGGCTTGCCTGTTATCTTAGGCGCAAGCTTCGCCAGGAACGGTTTGTCCTCCGTCTTCGAGATGCCGATCTTCTTCAAAAACGGTCTCTTCTTCTCCTTACCCTCTTTCTCGAACGACCGATCGTTTAATTTCTCGCTGCTATAGTTCGATGAGTTGTCGCTGCTCTTAGATCGCGCCCGTTTATTCCTCGGGTGTGGCGTTAACGGGGTCCTGGGTGTTCTCGGCGTGAGGGACGGACTGGGCTCCTGGTTCGGGCAGGTTTCGTCCAGCAGAGCGATGGCGTCTCTCAGATCCATGTACGCCTTCCTAGGTGCGGTACTCGCTGGACCAGGTCGTGGTACCTCGCTGTCGATGCTGCTATTCCTCGTGGACGTGCTTTCCGGCTTCATTTCCGTGTCCATGTGCGAGTACGAGGGATACGAGCTCCGATCGCCCATGGGCCCCGGCGAGGAATCTATGGTAGGGTAATCCTCGAGGTACCAGGGCGTTACACCGAGGTCTTCTGGTCTGGCCGCGGTACTGTGAGCCGGAAGCATCGGGATCTTACTGATGGCGCCTCTGTTGCTGCCAGAACCCGTTGACTGTTGATCGGTCTGTGTGGTACTCGAGAACGTACCAGATATACTGGCTATCTCGATCGGGGTGCTGGTTATCGCCACTTGCCGACGATAACTGGTACACGTGGCGAAATACGGAAGCGCCGGACGCGCCGTTTCGACGATGACGCGACCCTGGGCGCACGGGACCATTGGCTCCCC